ATGCTTTCATCAACGAATATTCTTTTTTCCTCCTGTGTGGTTTTTACTTTTAGACTCGGTTCTGGTTCACGACCAACATATTCAAAATCAACGTCAAATGTTTTGACATTAATTCCAACGTCGTTACTAATTGTGCACTTGTAAACTCCTTCGTCCTGCTTGGTAGGCTTATTTATGATCAAATAGTACATATCATCAACATATTCTTCTTGGAAATGATCATCTGAAGTGATTATTTCATCATCTTTGGTCCATTTTACTGTTGGCGTGGGCTTACCTTTTACTCTTACAGTAAGTTTAATGCTACCATCGTCCGTTACTTGGAATGGGACGACGCCCTCCTCCATGAATACAGGCAAATTCACTTCTAGAGGAGTTTCCTTAGTTGGCTTGTCCCATTCAATGTCAACGTTAAATCTCTTTACGCTGACACCGCCCTTGTTTGAAGCAGTACATTTGTAAGTACCTCGGTCAGTTTTTGTTGGACTTTTGATAGTAAGAGTAGACACATCGTCAACACATTTCAAACTGAATTTTTTGCTCTCAGTTATTTCTTTGTCATCTATAGACCACATTATCTCGGGCTTAGGGTGACCTCCCACTTTAACAGTAAGCACTACATCTCCATCATCCGTTGTTTTAAAGGATGTGACATCTTTGTCGATAAAATATGGCGAAACATATTCTTTTGTTGGACTCTTCTCAATAACAGGTGGTCTTAGATCTTCGACAGTGACATCAAACGATTTTGAATTAACACCAGCCTCGTTGGTAACGACACATTTGTATATTCCTTGATCGTGGTCCATTGCACGTTTTATTGTAAGCATATGCAGGTCGCCTTCTTGACGCATTGAGTACTTTCGACTTTCTTTGATTTTCTTGCCGTCTTTTTGCCATTCTACTTTACCAGACCCGGAAAGCTTTACCGTCAAAGTGAAATCTCCATCATAGCTTACCCTGTATGGTTCAACCTCAGTGACATCAATAAATCTTGGTAAAATTAACTCTTCACTTAGTGCACCTTTAACCTGGTGACTTGGTTTTACTGCTTCAATATCAACATCAAATGTCCTTGTAGCTTTTCCAGAAGTATTTGAGATTACACATTTGTACATCCCAGTATCATTGATCGTCGGTTCTTTAATAATTACTGTATGCAAATCGTCTTCACTACTTATACTTATGCGGTCAGATGATTCAAGTGACGCACCATCTTTGGACCACTCCAATGAAGGTTTTGGAACTCCATATATTCTGACCTGTAGTTTAACACTGCCATCCTCAGTTATTTCGAAAGGCACTGGAGCAGTTGACCCCTTTTCTATGAATTGCGCTCTGACGTTTCCAACATCTTGTGGGATAGACACTTCCTGCGCTGATGTTCCAGTCTCGATAGTTACATCGAACGTCCGGACGTTGGTCCCTCGTATATTTTTGGCGACACAGGTATAACTTCCAGCATCACTACTGACAGGTGACTTTATAATGAGTATGTGAGTATCTCCACGTATTTGGACTTCAGTCCGTTCGCTACCTCTAACAGGTTTTCCATCTTTTAACCATTCAACGTCCGGCTCAGGATAACCAGTCACTCTTGTTTGCAGCTTTATATCCCCGTCCTCAGTGACTTCATACGGAGAAACTCCTTCTCTATCAGAAAACTGTGGAAAGTCTTGATCTTTATGGACAAATGCTTGCAGTTTGGGCGTAAAAGATTCGACGTCGATGGAAAACTTCCTGATTGCTGTTCCTGCTTCATTCTTAGCTTCACACTTGTAAAGGCCAGAGTCTTCTGCAGTTGAACTTTTTATCGTTACTGTATAGACGTTGTCTTTACAATCGATAGAAATACGGTCGTCTTCTTCCAGAGGTAAATCATCCTTAAACCATTTTACATCCGGCATTGGCTGTCCTTTAACTTTTACCTCTAGAATAAGGTCACCATCATCAGTCATGATAAGCGGTGATTTTCCTTGAATTTCTTCGAATGATGGGCGTTTGTTTTTGTCTGGCCTTTCAACTCCTACCTCAAAGGATCTAGAGGCCATTCCACGATCATTTGAAGCCCTACACTTATACACACCTTTGTCGTCATCAGTAGGAGATTTGATAATAAGTGTATGTAAATCATCGAAGCTTTTAACATCAAAATGAGGACTGCCTATGATAACCTCGTCATCTTTCATCCATACGACATCTGGTGTAGGACTTCCACCGACCTTTACTTCTAGCTTAACATCCCCAGTCTCGGTTACCTCGGCGGGTGTTACTTTTTCTCCCGTGTCAATAAAATGTGGTCGATCTTTATTTACTTCGGTATCAAACCTCATGGTACCAGAATCAATAACCTCTACATCCCCTCCCTCTGCTCCAATATCAAAGGAAATTTCTTCCCCGAGATTTACAGTTCTAATTGGAACAGAAGTGGGCCCACGTGGGTGTGGATTTCCCGGGTGTGGGTTTCCTGGGCGTGGATTGTGAGGGTTTTTTCCTTCTAGCAGCTGTTCTTGCTCAACAATGACTGAATAATCCAGGTCATCGTTTTTTATCTCTTCGCCCATTACAATAGTTTGTTGCGCTGGTTTCACCTTTTCTTCCTTATCTTTTGGATGAGGGTTTCCTGTTTTTTGAGGAGATTTGGATGGAGCTACTTCTTCGGGACGTCCAACTTGTAATTGGATTACCGGGTTTATAGCATCACCTGTTCCAAGATCAAGCTTTACTTCTTCCCCGATAATAACAGTTCGCTTTGAAGTTTCAGGTTTATCTTTTGTATCATCTGGACTAATTGTTTTTGGCTTTGAAGGATGTGGATTTGTAGGCTGCTTTTTGTCTGGTTGGTTAACCTGAATTTGGATAACAGGTTTTGACAAATCTTCCGAACCCAAATCCATTTTTATTTCCTCTCCCAGAACATAAGGTTTCTGTGATGGAACTGGCTGCGATTTTTTAGGTTCCACAGGCTGTGCTCCTCCGATATTGAATGTTATTTCTTTATTGAGATCCATTGCTTTTTCTTCTTTCTGAAGAGGTTCTTCCAAAACTGGCTTCCGTGAACCTAATGTCTTAGTCAACTCCTTATTAACCTTGATCATCTGTTCTTCCATTTGTGGGTTGATTTGGAATTTTACTTCTGAAAAAGATTGGTCTTTCCTGATTTCAACGACAACCTCTTCTCTTTCTAAAGCGTCATCCTCGGGAACATCCTTTACTCCAAATTTTAAAGAGAGTTCTTTATTAAGATCAATGAATTTTTCGTTTCTTTCCTTTTCTATCTCTTTCGGTGATTTGGGTTTTCCTTTAACTTGCAGGTATGTATCACAGGTTTGTTGTTGCTCCCCACTGCGAATTACGCAACGTATATTGCCACTGTCATCAGAATTTACATCTTCGATAATCAGTTTGTATCGTCCCTCCTTCTTGTCTTCAGAAATTCGAAATCGTCCCCGATTTTCAACCTTTTTTTCATTCAGATACCAATCAACATCTGGGAAAGGCTGCCCAGATACTACTAAATCGAATTGTGCTGTGTTCCCAGATATCTCAATTACTGGCTCCGGTCTTTTCATAATGATAACTTCAGCCTCTTCAACTAGAACCTCGGTGGCACAAGAAGCAGTACCGAATTCACTACTTGCAACACACTTGTATAGACCCTCATCATCTAGGTTGACGTCTTTGATTTTCAAGGTACAAACTCTGCCATTGAAAAAGCTTTCAAATCTTTGAGAATCTTTTAGAGGAAGTCCATCTTTGTACCATTCAATGGTTGGTTTTGGATTTCCAGTCACCGTACAAACCAAAGCAACTGTTTCTCCTTCTGTTGTTTCAACAGGTTGAATCAGCTGAAGAAACTGTGGTGGACTTCCCGTTTTTGGAGGAGCTGTACACAAAGGGATAGTTTCTTGTTCTTAATCAAGAATGGATAAAAATGTACAAGTTTGCACCAACGGCGACTGGATTGATTTGCGTTGTATACGTACGATGGAACTGATTGCGTGTATGATTCCACTGACGAGTGCCAAAAAGTTCAAGAAGAGCGATCTTCATCACAAGACAGGCAATCATTGAAATATGGTATATTCCAGCATGCACAATCACCATGCATCATCAGTGCAGTATTTGCGTTTGTCAAGAAGAGAAATCATCATCACAAGAGAGGCAATCATTGAAATATTTTCCATGCCAACATGCGCAATCACCATGCATCATCAGTGTAGTATTTGCGTATGTTAAGTATCACGAAAATGAATAAGAGTACATTGGTTTTCGTATGTTGAGACGATCGTGTGTCACTCCTTATCTTGAAAAATATTATCTTAACGTTATTTGATGAGAGAAAAATCAGTGATTATATAGACATGCAAAAAGTTCAGGTGACTATGACTCTCAATACTTCAGAAGACAATGATTGGATTCAGATGTATTATTTGAGCACTGTGAAAGTACGGTTGCAAAAAACACATTTTTCCAAGCATCAGAACTAACCATATACGGTTCCGAAGAAGGATCCTCGAGTTTCGGTCAAACAGAGGTTTGATGACAAACATCCAATTCCAAGAAGAACGACGAATATACACCTCTGGTTCAATAATGTTTCCTTTAACTAGATTCCGAAATGTTGCGAAATAGTGAATAATGCAATCTTCAGTTTCAAAAGAGTCAGACACCATTTAACTTTATTTTATTACTCATTAATTTACAGTTAAGATATATTGTAAATTAATAATTCTAGCTTAAGCCGCATCCCTGCAACAATGAAATAAATAACATGCCTTACGTGCGCTTTGCATGCACCTCGTAGTAGCTACCGCATTACATAGTAGTTAAAATGTTATATGAATAGAATAGATCATCATTCCATATAAATACATGCATTCTATTAGTAAATAAATATAATTAAAACTAAGAATAAAAGAATTTTTTGAGTAGGTATTGTAAGACAAGAAGACATACACAAGTAAAATTCTTTTTTTAATTCTTAAAAACATTCTTACCTTCAATATCCAGATTGTAAGTCCTCTTGGCAGCTCCGGCGTTATTCTCTGCAATACAGGTGTACGCACCAGAATCCGTAGGACTTGCACCTTTGATTGTAAGTGTGTACTTATCAACAGTGTTGCACAGAACGTAATGTTTACTTTCTGTGATGGGTTTATCGTCTTTCTCCCAATGGACATCGGGAGCAGGGCTACCCCTCACTGTCGCTTCTAAGGTAATATCACCACCCACTTCAAACTCTGTTGGTATGCTTGGACTCTCGTCCGAAAAGTAAGGTGGGAAAGGTCTTATATTTATGGTAAGCTCTCCGTAGCAACTCGTTTGGCCAGCTTCATTAGTCGCTGTGCATCGGTATCGACCTCCATCATTTGGAATACAATTTCTGATGACAAGTGACCGCTGATCATCATCAGAGCGAGTTTCAATTCTATCAGTGTCAGACAAGGGACTGTCATCCTTGAACCACTGGACATCAGGCACGGGTGTACCAGACACTCGCACATCAAATTGCGCAAGATCTCCTTCATACAGCTCGATGGTACTCATTTTTCTCACGAATTCGGGAGGCACAACCGCTTCGTCAACTAGCAATTCCACTTTGCAAGAATCTTTGCCCGCTTTGTTTGACAGAATACATGTATATTCTCCTTCATCATTCAGCATTGCATCCATGATTGTAAGAACGGAGCGGTTTTCTTCAAAGTCCAGTTGGAAACGATGACTATTTCCTATAGGCTTACCATCCTTCAGCCATTCGGTTTCTGGTAGAGGTAGGCCTGAAACAACAGCTTCAAACCGTGCTGTAGCGCCCTCTGTGATTTCAATGTTTTTAGGCCTGGTTACAAATTGTGGTGCTCTCATTGTTTCCTCAACTAAAACCTCTGATTTACATGAAGCCTCTCCAGCGGTGTTTTTGGCAATAAAGGTATATTCAGCTTCGTCTTCTAGTTTTACATTGGAAATAGACATTATATGTACGCGGCCGTCAGATTGCATACTTATTCTATCCCCCGGCTTCACAGGTTTACCATCTTTGAGCCAATGAACTGTTGGTTTTGGCTGGCCACTTACTTCGACTTCAAGGTCTACTGTACTCCCTTCCAAAACTTCTTTGTCTTCAAGCTTTTGTAAGAATTGAGGAGAAATGTCTTTTTCTTGTGGGATGTCAAATTTCAACTCAACAGGGCTTTCATCTTTTGGAGCAACCGTAAAGGTAATTTCTTCCATGACCTGTTTGGGCTTTGCTTCAATAACCAGATTTGCAACAGAAGACACTTCCCCAGCACTGTTTCTTGCGGTACACTTTATTTCAGCAGTATCCTTGATATTGCATTTGTGTAGCGTTAGGAAGTTTAATTCTTTGTCGCGACTTGCCTCAAATCTATCGCCAGCTTCTATAAGAACATTGTTCTTGAACCAAAGAACTTCTGGTTCAGGTATTCCTTCAATCTCAGCCACAAACTTGACTTGATCACCTTCCACAGCTTTCACACTTGTTAATTCCTTGATGAATTCAGGTTTTTTCGATCGTTCATCTACAAGCAGTTCAGCACTACATTCTACAGTACCGTGGTCATTGCTTACCACACATTCGTACTCTGCCTCGTCATCAAGCACCGCCTCTTCGATCTGGAGGATGTGCTTATCTCCATCTACCATGACGTGAACGCGCCTGCTTTCTTCAATAGGTTTTCCTTCAGCTCTCCACTCTACAGATGGTTTGGGTGTACCACTTACGAAAACCTCAAGCCGTACTGCATCTCCTTCAATCACGTGAAGTTCTGTTAAGTTTTTGATAAATTTAGGAGCCTCGCCAGCTGGCTTTTTCAGTGGAAGAACGCGTTCCTCTACCCCAGAAAGGGTTGCTGCAGTACTGGCTTGGCCAGCATCGTTCATAATGACACATTTATAATTACCATAATCTTCACTGGTAAATCCATCTATTAACAAGACTGCGGAGCCTAGATGTTTTTCGATATTGAATCCGTCATCTTTGGTAATCTCTTCATCATCCAAATACCATTTGACCTTTGGTTCTGGTGTTCCCACGAAATTCACGGACAGCTGGACATCGCTTCCTAATTTGACAGTTAGATCATACAGCCTCTTTGTAAATTTTGGTGGAACTGAATCCAAAGTAACGCTAAAATTGGAGGTGCAATCCGCTTCGCCGTATGTATTTCTTGCTTTACAAACGATTCTTCCAGTGTCATCTTTTCGGCAATTGGATATGACGAGTCTGTGGATGTTTCCTTCTTTCTGTGTTTCAATTCTACGTCCTGGTTTAAGCTGTTTTCCTTCTTTGAACCATTCAACAACTGGTTCAGGATTTCCATCCACCCGAACTTCAAAGCGCGCTGGCATTCCATCCAGAACTACGGTGTCCTTTAGTTCTTTCGTGAACTCAGGAGCAGATCCTTTAGGTGATATTTGAAATGTCGCAGAAGTGGAATCTTCGCCTGCAGTATTTGTTGCCTTGCAAGTATAGGTGCCTTCATCGTCAGGATTTACCCCTCGAATGGTCAAGATACAAAGATCTCCAGGACGGATTTCGATGTGGTGTCTGTCATCTTCTATCACTCTTTTTCCATCTCTATACCATGTTATCTCTGGTCTTGGTTTACCAGTAACGCGACACTCCAAGATGATCGTATTTCCCTTGGAAATCTGCACATCAGACAGTGATTCCACAAACTTTGGTTTTGCGTGGACATCTTGTTCAGTTGCCTTGACATCTTCTGCAGTAACATCTTGAGGCTTTGGTATTTTAAGTTCCACAGGCTGAAAGTCGAACGCCGCTTGACCATCGAGAGTCAGTGTGATGGGTTGAGGCTCTTTTCCAATTTGACTGTTGGAAAAGATACAAATAAATTTTAGCAAAACAAAATATAAATCGAAAGAATTTTTATGGAATTTTTAAAATCCTATTAATTCCCAAAAGCAATCTTTGTTGGGATGATGACCTTTTACAGAAATGATTCAAACATAATTTTGGAACGATATTTCTCTACATTTCATTTTTGCAGTCTTCTTATGCGATAAATAATTCAATCCCCATTTCAGTTACACCACTCTTAACGTATTATGACTTCTATGTTATAAGTATAGCTTAAGTTTGTTACTTTATAAAGATAAGAAAAGCGTCGATATTTTCTTTAAAAGGATGACAGATATTAATAATCTAGTTCAAGTACATACAATGTTGCTGCAGTTTCTTCTCTCCTTGGTTCTAAAAATGATAAAACAAAACTGCATAAGTATCTTACGTAGTACCAACCTCAACTGAACCACAAAGTTTGACTGTTGATAAAGTTTACCTGGCATGGATTCTTGGACATCTATTGTGGTTTCAGATACAATTTTTTCCTGTGAAAAGTAAAATTATATCATGAAAACACGAACGAATACACAGAATTCGACATGGTATAGTACAAAAGAGTTGTTTTGCACAAAGTATGACGTTACTTACTGGTTGCGGCTTCTTGACCAACTCAGCGGTGTAACCTGGAATAAAATGGGGAAAAAAAGCTATATAAAAATACGATCTGAGTTGAATACCATGGAATATCCCACTAGTCCCTTTGTCCCTTTTTTAGTATACACACGGGCCTGAAGGCTGTAAAAGCGTTGTAGAACTATTTTATTCCACACCATTGTGTGTAGCCTGCGTTCAGCCGGTTTAATTTCCTAAACCGGCTGAACGCAGGCTACATTATGTGAAGAAATTCAAAAACCCACTATGCGTGATGGGAAGAAAGAGTGGAATACCACAAAATAAAAAAATGTTTTTCCGCCTTCTAATTGGCTGAGTTTTCCATGGTTTGGGATGAAACGTGATGGTTATTATGTTCATGGAATTATCAAATTCACACTGACGAGGAAAAAGCAACGATTAGCAATAATCAAATCGTACCTCCTTTCAGAGTTACTTCAGCTGTTGATGTTCTTCTCTTCAGTATTTTGGAAGGCACCCACATCTCATCGCCTTGGGAACCATCAACTCTCAACTTCACAACTTTGTACATGCCAGGCCGCGAAAGCTTGTCAACTACAAGTACACTTTCTTCTCTCTTTAAATCGCCAAGCTCGTCTTCGTAGTCTTCGATTGCAACGCACATTTCGACTCCAACAGGCATTCCAACTGTGATCTGCAATCTATTGGAAATGAAAAATTGATGCAGTAAGATACTGAACCAGACGTAAGAGTAACACGAGGACATGTCTGTCATTCGGAATGGCCATCCATTGACTAGGCCTAGCTAACTGAGAGCTGGCTGGGGCTATGCGGTAAATGCACATTCACATCGAAAGCGTGGTACTGATAAAAATAGAGACTAAATGGAGTTGAATTGCCAGTGAACTGAACAATGAAACCTTGTGATTGTGTGATAAAATGACATTTGCGCGCCTAACCGCATAAATCGATATATCCATTTTTTTCTTCTATTTTTGTATTCAGTATAAATAAAGAAAAGACACAGATTCAAACTTACTCTGTTTGTTGTCTTATCTCATCACACAGACGATCCAATATGTCTTTTGCTTCCTGCAAATAAATGTTTATCAACATGAAAATAGGCCTTTCGATAAACACTATATTACCTTTAAAATTAAAATCATATATTACTAAACAAAATCAAGCAGCCATTGTTTCAAGTTTCAGAAATACAATTGACTTGCTTTTCCTTTAGAATCAAACAAACTGCAGTGGAAAGTCCGAATAAAAACAAATTTAAGCCTGGATAATATGCAATAAAACGGTTTCCGAAAAACATGATGGGTTGCAAGCATTCCCAAGAGAGTTAAAAGACAAAACCATGGCGGCCATTGTGGTACCGTTAACAATAGATTCTAATGAGAAATCTTTTGTTAGAATGGCACCAACATGGCCGCGATGACGTAACGTGCAAACGAGGAATAGGGTTGCTTCCTGATGTATGACTGACCTTAATATCTCTTGTGTCAACTCCGGCATCTAGAGCAACTTCCAGCATCTCCGTCAAAATCTCTCTGTACTCAAAAACACGTTCCAGTGGCCGCTGCAGAAGAGTGACGAGGGGTCGGGTGTTGTGCCTCTTCCTGCATATCTGAAACAGTAAAGGTCTGATTAATAACCTGTAGAATGTCACAACGTCCATAATATACGACATAACAAAATGGAAAAAATTGGAATGATGAAAATATGAAAATAAAAAATCGAGAGAGGAATACATTAATACCTCAAAATATTCGGTTGGTGTGGACGCCAAGACCAAGTCGGAATCTTCCTTTCCATCACAGAAATCTAGATATTTATAAAGGTTGTGTTCCTATAACAAAATTAAAAGTTGAAACTAAATGCTCCCCAAAAATTCATAATTTAGCATCAAGGAAGATGGACATTCAAACGATACTAGGCTTCATAGGCTGGATAAAATTAAAACAAATAAGTTTTCAGCAAGGATTCTTTGAATTATCCTGGTATTAGGTAAGAGTCGCTTACTGTAGTTTATTAATTCATAATTAATTCAGCACTATGCAAAAACCCACTGTCGCATTCTTACCCTTGACGAAAATGGACGTCCAATATGGACAGGTGTGCTCTTCAACTTCTTCAGCTCTTGTACAAGAACCCTGTATACAAGAAAATAAATAAATGTCCAAAAATTTTATATTCATTCATCATGCATTTGTGACCCGGGACTAACCCTGAGCGACAGAGAACTCGAAAACGGAGTATTCCTCGTTGCAAGAGTAGATCTGTTCCTTGCATCTCTTATCATAGTTAATGATTCGAGGGTTCGATTTTCCTCCGTTAACAAATATTACTAAGATTTGTAATAAAAAAATCAAATTCCCCCATCCCCTTTTCTAATTCTGAAAGTCTATTCAGTAATCAAAACCTCTCTTAAAGAATTCACCATTTTCCATATATCGCGGTTAACTGGTCAAACGCAAAGCATTCAGTCGAGGTTGCAAGGTTCAAATTTGAAAAAATCCTTTGCAAGTACCTTGGCGCCTCGCTTAAGCGCTTTGTGTTTGACCAGTGAACCGATGTATGGAAAATGGTGAATATCTTTAGGAGAAAAATTATTTTACTTTAGAGGCATTGAGTACGTACACTTTATGGAAGAAGTAAATTTCCTCGATGTTACTAAAAATGGCATCTTTGTTGTCTGCTAGATCGGCTGGAGCACTGTCCATTTCATACATATAGTCCTGCATATCAAAATATCAATCAGCATATGAATGAGCATATGAAAATGTTGTGGGGAAAAAGAGTCATCGCTTGATAAAGGGATTTTTCCATAGAAACAAATACCTTAACATATATAACTACAAAATAATCCCATACCTCAACAATCGACCTAAGTTCGTCAACGTAATTCTCCTCGCTGTCGATCAATATCCTTGTCAATTCATCCAATCGAGTTAATGCAGCTTGTTTTGCAGTGTCCAGTGGTTTTGGCTTTGGTTTTGCCTCTACGAATGGTCCCTGTAGTTTGAATTCCACTGGAGCAAAACCATCACTAGGTGGGGCAAATTGTGCCTCGGATTCCGTCGTCTCTGGTGAAGAACTTTGTACGGAAGGTATGATTGGAGGGGAAAATACGATGGCTTGGCCAGCAAACTGTGGAACGTATACTTCGGTACGACCAGGCGGTCTAAAAAATGTAGACCTTCTTTAAAATTCATTTCCCAAAAACTTACATCTGAATACTAACGTTATTCTTACCACTTTTGACCTATTTTTACTTAGCCTTGTGGTTATTACAGACAACCTGTACCGTCTTTTCATTTATCTGCCTTAGTATATATACTATAAATAACTGTTTTTATACTATCTAGATTTATTAAATTATCTATATTGTATATATAAAAAAAAAGAGAGTGGTACAATAAAGTTGTTGTTGTTCTAAAAGATTAGGAATCGTTGATGAACATTGCTACCCTGGGTTCCACTCGCTTTCTCGCTCCAGTGCTCCTCGGTCGTAGGTTTCTTTATCGCGAGAGAATATCGAAACATACCACCGATAAACACTGGAACGAGAGAGCCTCTGGGCAGGGCAGTCACTGAGAAAGAAGCTAGATGATTTTGTAACAATATGCGAAAGAAGGAAGAAAAGAAAGAAAAAGAAAAACTGAGACAGAAATAAGGTTTCATTTACAACTTACACTCTCTCTCTTGGCTCCAAAGAATCCTCAATCTTTCTACAGATTTGTTCGTTGGAATCCTTCATATCTCCATCGGGCTCTTCCAGTTCTTCAAGCCTGGGATGTTTGCCTTCAGGAGCTGCCTGTAGATCTACTTTAGAGAGAACTCGTACCTCCATCTGACCACCAGGAAGAGCTATAGAAAGGTCAAGAAAAAGGGTTAAGATCAACACCCGGCGAAGCTAAGAAGGCGAGTTAACAAAAAAACTGCTAAACAATGGATGAAGTATGATTATATACCTGATCCGTCGTCGTACATGTAGTATTTTGAAGTGATTTCAGGAGCTTCTGGAACTAATGTCTCCACTTCTGTTCGCGTTTCCTGCTTTACACTCGTGGTTGTCTCTCGAGTTGTTGTTTTCCATGTTCTCTTTCGGGTAAATTGTGGGCTTTCTGGTTCTTCTGGTGGAGGTGATCGATAATTAACTACGTTCATGTCGGTCTCCACCTGTAAAGAAACCAAACAATTGAGATTGCTCAAAGCTAGCTCAAATAATGCAATCACACAAAAAAAAAGGCTTCAAATTCTAGGGCATTTTTCATATTATGACTGTGAAACGGAACGGCAGAAGACACTATCTTGGTACGGAATTGAGGACATCCTTTTATTTCAACCACAGGGAAGGAGATTATGGCTCACTCAGTAAAAAATGCTAACACACGGTACCGAGCACGGCACGGCACTCCAAGCCCAACATTTAAGCAAGGAATACTCACAAGAAGGAACGTGAAATTAATGATGAAATCGAGGACTGACCTGCACATTTTTATGGATAACTGGTCCCATGGTAGTAACAGTAACGTCTCTTTTGACGACCTCAGTGCCTCTTGGGGCCATGGTAACTGCATACTGAGGTTCTCTTCTTGTGTCTTGATCGATTTGGACCATGATTTGCTGTTCCGGGGCACCAGTATCCCTTCCTACGACCTKCCCTCCCTCGAACCATCCTCTGATTTCTGTCTTGATTATTGGTTCAATTTTTTCCTCTGCATCGGACGACACGGATCCATCTGATTTTATGCTGACCATTACTTGTGCGCGCTTGCCAGGTCCTGCTTCTTCGAAAGCAGTACCACTTCCACGCCGTTTCTGGCCCAGAACACCATCTAAGAATGTTGTCAGGGTGGTACGGATAGGCACCGGCGCAGATTCTTCAATTGTGTCTGGAGGCCTACTTTGAAGGTCTCTCTCATAGGTGTCGAGACTTTCAGCGAAATCTTCTATGGCCTGGAGAAGTTAACATTTAAATAAAAACGAGTTAAACCAAAACGGATTCAAAAAGGTCAAACAAAGCAAAGACCGAAATCCTAGCTAACAAACTCCGATATCAAACATTATACTTGCATTGGGGGTGGGGGGAGATGGAGGCATTACAGGTGAAAACTTTAACACAATTATTTAATATATGCAGGGTGTGTATGAACTAAAAATTTATTTAATTGGTTAATACCTCTGGTGGTAATCCCAGACGATTTCTTTCCCTCAGCTTCTCTGCCAAACGGTAAAGGTCGTTATCCATTAAATCAAACTTGGTAGCTACTTCTCTCTGCTTGGCAACCAGTTCCTTGGCTTTGCGTCTGGGCGCATCGATAATCAGTTTGGCAGACAAGTCAGATATTTTCTTCAGGCGGGTTTCCTGTTTGTTAAGACCTGGCCGGATAAAACCTTCTAGGAGATCTAGGAGATCGATGACTTGTTCTTCTGTGCGACATTGCTTGGCTTCCTCGCGTGTTGTCTGCAAGAAGTGTTCACTGTCGCTTGTCCAGGTAACGGCCTATTCAAAACAAAAGACAAGTGATGAAAAAAAGTAAAAAAAGAAATATATGTTATTTGGAAAAACTGTGCCCGAGGTCTTGAATATACGGACAGAGGTCGTTGGGCCGAGGTCCGTTTACGAGACCGAGGGCACAGTTTTTCCCTATCCGGACCAACTATAGGACGGTTAATAACTTATTTATTTTTTCCCGTTTTTTTTTACTTGTTTTTGTAATCGTTTTGTTTTGTGGTTTAGCGGCAATGGACACCGGTCCGCGAGCAGATACTGACAAAATACCGCCCGCTCAAACAGCCAATCAGAACGCACGATTTTTTAGGATATCGAACCGGAAAAAAATAAAGAAAGATAAGATACACGAGAAAGATGCTGATAACATATGTGAAGAGAGTATTACACAATACCTGTTCATACAGTTGGTGGAATTCAATGGATGCTTCCAGCATTGTGCGATGTTCCTCAATTCGAGATAGGAACCTCTTCCATCTTGTTTCCATGGAAGACACTTGATTCTGTATAGATGGCGCATCTTGATGTCCTTCACTTACAAGCCGACTGGCCTCTTGTACGAGATGTATTACCTCGTTATCTGTTGGCTATGCAAGCAAAGATAAAGAAAAATAAGCGACAAAAAAAACTACACCATAATTTAATGAAAGAGTTATTAGGGCCCTAACAAACAGTCCCAGTATTTGACCGAACATCTGACCCAACAAGGTCCTTTTTCATGCAGCAGCCCTGTTGGTCTGAACGATAGATTCCACCACGCGTAGCCTCGCATTCAAGTGTTTGAGGATAAATTTATGCAGGTTAAACAAAAGTTCTTATTCTCATGATAATAAACATGGCCGCTGTGTGATGAAGGTCCATTTACCCAACAGTTTTAGCCAATATTTTGAGCGAACATTGTTAGCAGCCATAACAAACGATCCCAACATATGGCCCAACAAACGTTGGCAAAATGTTGGGTCAAATGTTTGGACCGTTTGTCAGGGCCTTTAGTATTTCGTCATACCTTGACTGATTCTAAGAACGTGTCTGATTCTTGCAGGAGTGTGACGGCATCCAGCAAAGAATCGCCAAATTTCTGATTTAACGCGATCAAATCACGATTGTGTTGCTCAACCATCAAGTTAACCTGGAAAAGTCGAATAACGTCATTGCAACACAAGAAAGAAAGGTAATAGATGAAAATATTCTAAACCAGACTAAAAATACGCATACCCTGCTTATCGACTGTTCAAACTCGCAAATTTTCACGCTTTCCTCAAGTTTGCTCTTATGATGCTCCCAGAGGCTTGCCCATTCATCTTTCTTGCCCTCGCTTTCTTCAAGAAATCTCTTGATTTCTTCTCGAGACACAGTAACTGCCTCACTTGTTCCTACTTTCTTCAAAATGTCACGTCCATTAGTTATGGTGAAGTTGTAGATATCAGCCACGCTCTGGTAGTTGGCAAGATGGTCTTGGAGCATGAGCTGGGCACGGTTAAGGTCTGGTGCAACTTGCCGGCTTCGAAACTTCTGCATCATTTCGTCCATTACTTGTAGCAACTGAAAACAAATGCGGTTTCGTTATCGTCAATATCTACTTTAACAAAGATTACTCAATTAACAGAGCGGCTTAATGCTACTACAAACCATTTACAAATAATCAAACAAATCTTTAGAAAAAAAAGATGGATCGTAGACGGAATAGACCTTCTCGGCTTGGGCGTTTTCCCATTTCAGACCAGGTGTCATTCTCTTAAAAATAAGATTATTTGTATTATTTGTGTCCATAATTATGTGCCTCCTTTTGCGCATCTGCTAAATAAACAAATAATACCCTAGGGAATGACATGTTGTCTGAAAAAATTACGACCAAGCCAATGTGGTCTATTGGTGTTGACAATAAGCCTTTTCATAGTTTAAGAATCGATTCCACTGCGCATGCGATTTTATCCCGAATTTCTCACCTTCTTTTGTCTAAACCTTCTTTTGTTCTTAATTAAACAAAAGAAGGTGAAAAATTCGGGATAAAATCGCATGCGCAGTGGAATCGATTCTTAAACTATGAAAAGGCTTATTAAGATAAATTATTTCCAGCTGATTTCAAACACAACCCCATTCCCCTTATCCATAATGAAAACACTGTGACCAAATACCTTGTCAACACTAGCAAAGAAGGTCGCACACATGGCCAGTAGCACCTCGTAGTCAGACATAAGAGTCTTAAACCGTTCATATGCAATCTTCAACTCGTCTGTTACTACAGTGATGGCAGCTCGGTAGCTCTGATCTTCGTCTGCTAGTTGCTCTGCCGCTTGGAGGTGTCGTTGGACGTCCTCGTCGGTTTTCTAAGTTAACATCATATCATTAAAACATTGTACCAATGACAGGATTTAAATTAAACATTAAGAGTGATATAACCAAGACATGTATGAAATACTAGACCCCTTACAGCACTTCGGAATGCAGCTCAATCTGGGGGACAGATGACTGCAGATTCCAACATGTAAATACTCATGATTAAAGGAAGGCTAAAATCCTTCTCACCTGTGATGCTTCTCTAAACCGCCTGAGCTTCCCTTCGAGATCTTTTGGGTCTGCAGGAAGTGAATTGTAATCCACCATGACAGGGAAAAACTGTTCGCTCTGTTCTTCGATCCATGAAATCACCTTGAAAAAGAAAGCAATCATTCAAGGTTATTTGAAGAATCATAACCTCGAGCCTCTCAATTTTCTCATCCACATTTATAAAATATCGAAACGCTTTTCAAACCAAAGAGTTTGTCGCCATATCTAATTATCATAACAATGACGTAGAGAGGATACAATACTGGTGTTATCCACTTATTCTTTGTCTAATTAGTGCTATTTAGTACTAGTTATTGCAAAATGTGGCACGCTTTTAGTATTTGTAATCTACTGCCAGCGGGGTAGCACTAATACTGAAGTTTAAATGAGTCTATGCACGTATCTACCAACCTGTCTGGTATCGCGTTCAAACTGAAGAAACTCGGTGCTAAGTTGTCTGTGTCTCTGGAGCTGTTCGTCCCGTAATTTCCACAGCTGATCCAGGCTACCAAGTCTTTCTTGCAAATCGATTAAAATTGTGTGAATGGCGCGTCCAGAAGAGTCGCGGTTGAGGGAAGTGTCCTTGGGCTCCTGCAGTTATCAAAAATATCCATGAATCATTCATGAATCAAAGAGAAACAATATCAGTCAAATAGACTTTTTCTTTCCATCCCGCAACCCTACCCAAGTACAATCTATGGACTACGAAGTAGGGCTTTCGGGGGTGAGCAGGCAGGTTGCTTTCTCCATTAAAAGCAACTTTAAATTATAAAACATCTTTGGCAAAAGAGTTTCCCATATGAAAATGTGTCTCTCCTTTCCTATGGGCAGCTACCATGTAATTTTCCGGACAAACTTTCAGCCTCTTTTCGGGATGTCATTTGAAGTCATAAATCTCATACCTTTTGTAGCTGTTCCATTAAGGTGCGTGCATCTTTCTGTAACCTGTCTGATGCTGTGATGATGGTTTCTCTTGTCTGCCGCTGACGGGCAAACATTAAAGCCGATGCGTCCACGTTCTCTTTTGGTTCGTCACTAGTCAGTTGAGATTCCAAATCATTCAAGCTTTCCCATAGCTGTGAATTAATAATAAAGATATGATTGAGATAGGAGGAAAATTGCAGATTCCTTCTAAAGCACAGGAGACAACCAATAAGCATCTATACGAATCCATGATGGCTGGTCCGAGTTGTTATCGTCAACCAACATGGCCCTAGAGTACGGATTCAGTAATACTCACCGTCTTTCTGTGTCTGTGGAAGTCATAGTACATTTTGCCTAGTGTCAGCCTAAACGACAATTGACTGTTCAAGGTGGACCAAGCTCTCTTTAGTTGCTGTACTCTTTCATCATCAGGTCGTTTCGAAGTCAATTCTCTGACCTTCCCCTGCAGCTCCTTTGATAATAAATAAATGATTTAGAAATTAATTAAATGGTATTTCAAAACGTCAATAAAAACTTTCTCGACGATAACAATTTACATGTGTTGATTTCTTTTCCTTCGTTTATCATCCAAAGAATTCTATCTATGGACAGTATTTATAAACTACGCTCATCAGCAGCTGCTACGAACCAATAGCAGTTATTATGGATGCATGCAAATCAGATGCAAATGAGACAACAAGCATTGTATCGACCCGATAATAGCCTGCGTGCAGCCGTTTATTTCTCCGGTTATTATGGAGAAATAAACGGCTGCACGCAGGCTACCCAATAACCTCACTTGTATGATTCTTAAAACAAAAGAATGTCGCATTGCGCAGGAGAACACTGCCCAGCCAATGAAAATGCTCGCACAAGGAACCGTCAGGGTCACGGTTACCGTGAGGTTTTCACACACATAGAGCAGTTTTCTTATGACTGTGAAAACGTCGATGCTGTATGCATGCCTTGCTGCGACCTTGATTGTTTCTAGAATTTTGATTGGAGGATTTTTTCTCGCGCAATGTGATTGGGCTGGCGTATGCCTTGCCGTGCCACGACCGTGTTCGTGCCGTGAGCTATTCACACGAAAACTTCTCTATAAAAGTAAAAATATATCTAAATAATGAAATCTGACGTACCTGGACCTCTGCCTCTAGATCCTGGTGCTGGTTGAGAAAGTCTTGAGCAGACTTGAGTGTACAACCCATTTCTGAATTCGAGTCCATGAAGCTTTCTGCTGCATATTTGATCCAGCCGAGAACCTGATATCAAGTGAGACAATATATTTCTATGGATCTCAAAACTCATACCTTGTTAAAAAATAAACCCTTGAAATTGTTACTTTGGAATTTAGTTTAAAATTGACAGTTGATATCTACAATTATATATATCTTTAGCACAAATGAAGATTTTGTCGACTTCTGATTGGTCGAGACCCGTGGTAAATAAGAGGATCTACCAACAAATTACGTCAACAAATTACGAAACCAGCGCACGCTCGAAACCTTTTTTTTTTCTTAGTAAAAAACAAATTTTAATAAATAACCATAAATAACCACTATTAATTCATAGCAATGAGTAATTTCTAACCTGCTCAAACTCTGCATCTTCTTCTGTCGCGCCTTGCAAACTGACAACCAAAGCCTTACTTCTTGAACGCAACTCCTCGTATATTTTCACAACTACAGGCTGCTGCATGGGTTGCCCAATGCGTTCAGATAACAATCGACCTTCCCTAAGCTGTGAGGCCGAAGCTTGGCTTATCTCGCCCAAGACCTGTCTTTGTTCCTCTACAGACATCTGGTCATCCGAAAGTCGATCGCCAATTTCATCAAGCTTCTCCATTGCCTGTCAATAAATAGCAAATTCAGTCTCCAAGTCCTTTCCTTAAAATTTTATTAACTGGGACAAATATTATAAGAGTAATAGAGGATACTACATGGGCGCGTGGAGATACGAAATTTGTGAAGTGTGAGTGTTGAAAAGATCTCTCACGAGTGAATAATAAACATGGCCGCCGTGTGATAAAGGTCCATATGGTTGACTTTAGAACAAATAGTAACAAGCCGACAAACAAACCTTGTGGCCACTTCTATAGAACGCCTGTGTTTTTGTGAGTATTTTTCTTCGCTCATCTAGTCTGCTCACGAGGTTTCGAAAATCTATCTGAAGCTTGTTAACAATGACAACGGTTTCTTCGGCTTTTTGGAAGTCAGCATGAGCTAATTTCTCTGTTTCTCGCGCGAGTCTTTCTACTTGTTCTTCCTTTTCCTGTACGAAAAAAAATGAAAACAAATTATAAAAAATGCAAAAGTACAATTGCAGTCCGATCCCATAACTAGAACTATTCATCTCGCTGTCATCTCGGGGAGGACCTGGGACCGATACTGATGACAACTGCGCGGGAAACCAAACAAAAACATGTAAATTTTTAATTTTATGACTTTTCTAATGTATATGTTAAGTGTATGCCACAATTTTAATATAATTTCATAGTTTTTATAGTAAAAGATATAATAAAAGATATTGTTGTAATACGCATTTGAAAAAGCATGCTAATATTTGCGCAATATAAATAAATTTCGTTGTGATTATTGTTAGACCTTTTCGGCTTGGGAGTAACGTTTTCCCATTTCATACAGCGTGTCATTCACTTGAGTATCATTTCTTTGTTTAGCAGTGACGGATGAGAAGGAGCATGAATATGGTTACGAATGAAACAAAGAATCATATTCTCAAGAGAATGACAAATGGTCATAAATGAGAAGACAATACGCCCAAACCGAAAGGGTCTATTGCGTAGGAAAAGATCCTTACTCTTGTGGCCGCCTCGAACTTTGAATGCTCGTCGAGTAATACTTGGGTGGATGCTACGCTGTCTCCTGTGTCTTTGTAATTGAGATAATCTTCTGCTTCTTCGTGCAGCCATGTATTTAACTGAAATAGGAATAAAAATATTCAGCTGTTAATGATCCAAAGAATGAAACGAAAACGTAAGACAGACAGACAGACAGACAGACAGACAGAAGACAGACAGACAGACAGACATAAGACAGACAGACAGACAGACAGAAAACCATTTTTAGTTTGTTCGACGATACACAATTCAAGTGAAAACCGGAATAAGTGATTTATTATGGAATTCAAACAATTGCGAATGACCACAGTCATCTAATAATTACTGGGCGTTTTTTTAAAGGCTTTTATACGACCAATCTGAAGAACTAAGGTCAAAAAGTCTAGACGTCGTTCGACCAATGACTACTGACTTTTAAGAATAAAGCTTAAACATATTACCGTAGCCTAAGTGAGTAATTATTTGATAGATGGCCACTGTCAAAAACAACTGTACTATGTATTAAACATGTTTTCATCTATCTTATTTTCTTCGGGGGGGGGGGGGGATTCAAGTTCTTCAACCCAACACCTTCGGGTAGCCGGTCAAGTGCACTACTAAAACGACCAAACCTTAAAGCGACCACTTAAATAAACAATTATTATTAAGTGACCAGTCCAACTGTTATCACACAACATCGGAGACAGCTTGAGAAAGATCAAATCAATTGTCCATCAACATCCGTTCTACGTACCCTTTTGGCCTCTTCTTCTATTTTACATTTTTTGACACACTGCTCCAGGTTCTTCTTTCTTCCCTTCCAGAGATCATCTAGCTGTCGTCTACGAAGATGTAAAGCCTCGAGGACCCTTTCGATACTGTAGCAAGCTGCCTTTGTGGCATGACGATTATTGGTGTCAGCATGAACACTGGCCTGGCGCAGACGGTCAAGTAACGCCTGGCCTTTAGCTAATGTTTCCATGGATACCTCCAATACACTCTTTCGAAGGTCCTGGTATTGATTGAGTAGGGATGTGGCGGAGGTTACATCTTCTACAAGTAGAGCTCTGCTTAGCTCGTCTTGTGCTGTGGTGAATTGGTCTGTGAACTATACATGATAACCACAAAGACAGATCAAAATATTGATGATTATATGCATATAATGATAAACAAATGGCGTATTTTGATGCATGTATACAATATAGACGTGGAACATTTTACATGTATATACATATATTTTTGTATGGCAAAATGCATCGTCGTAGTTTTGGCGCAAATATTTGAAGTGGATGCTACGAAGAAAATACTAGAACTGATGAAGATCATAAAACTTTCATTTGTTTTTAAACTCAGTCTTTTAACAACTCTAAGAAAACTTATCTCCTTAACCCGTGGTTGCAAACGAGTTTCGGTGCAACATTTTTACGAAGTTTTTAGCTATAAATTTTAAAAATCGTAAAATTTTGTGAAATTTCAAAGCTTGATGCCAAGGGATTTTGGATTAAATAAAACGTGCAAAACGCATTTTTATTCACTTTGTTCATCAGCAAGGTTGTCTCCGTTACTTAAAATATATCTTCTTAAAATGTATCTTAGTTTCACATAGTTATTTCAATAAACCCCAAAACACAGATTTTAGAATAAATGAGAAAACATAATATCAAAAGTAATGGTCTTTGTTTTCAAGATTCTCGGTGCTGTGAATTATATTCCTCAATGGACTTTCATTATAAACGCCAGTAGATGTCATGCAGCTCCCGACAATGAAATGAAAAGTCCCCTGGAGGTATTTATATCACGCCTTTATAATACAAACGTGTTGCTTATAGTACGCATGAAATCAGAGTCGAATCGTCTAGGAGTGTGCATGATGAAAAAGGTCAGCCATTTGTATTTGACATTTCTTCGTACAAGACACCTTTATCTCAAGTCACGCAAGGCAACTATGAACTGTTTGAGTGATCGAGACTCGCATTAAAATTGTCAAAATCTGTTACATGACATCAAGAAAAATATTAAGAAGACTACACTTTGAACATTTCTACWGAGACAATTTCTTATATATTTGATTATAAAAGAGTTTATTTTATCATTTGCGCCATCGTGATCTTGGGATTGTATTGGGGATGCAAAATAGATGTATCGCCCTTGGAAGTTTGATTTGAAAATTTAAAACCRACGCATAGTGATATGATCTTAAAGTTTGAAGAGCGAAGTACCTATGGAATATCTCTATATACTCTAACCTCAAATATTTAAAAGATCTTGAAAAATAAAAGCACATGGTTGAACAGAATTCTTCGAACATTATGTGTAACAGTGGGTGACAGAATCAATAAATATCAAGTAGTTTTTYCTCTACAATACAAGGATGTAATGAACAGAACGAAAGAAGTGTTCGCCATCAGAACGCCCTGGTCTACGAGACATACAACAAAAATGTACGAACAACCATGACTGTTAACCTAGGCTTTCCATGATCACTTGAAATTGCGGCAAGAATAAACCTATTTGCTACTTGGGTAGAAAAAAAACCACTTAAATTTGTAAAACATAACTGCTAGAGAATAGGTAAATATCAAGGAATTATGCGAAATTAATTGCTGCAGTCTAAAACCGTTTATGGCTCAGATAGTAATGCAAAGATACTGAGTTCTTTGTAAATAGCAGTAGCATGGTACCGAAAACAGAAGCCGAGACGGTCTACGAACCCTTCCTAATAGTTTAACACAATACCTTAAGCTGTTTGTTRAGCTTGATGAAGTTATTCAGGTATTTCGTTAACTCTGTCCCACCAGAATACAGTAAAACAAAGTGAACTTCTCACTGAAAGGCTCGTCCAAGACAGCTGTACGTACGGCTTAGGGTAGTGCAAAGGGGATAGTGTTTCCAGTGAACTGGGTTGGCATTACCGAGCTATACTACCAACCATTCTTGTCATACCAATCGATGTGACAACTTGAAATTTGACAATCTTAGAAGGTCAGAGGTCTACTTAGAAAGAAACTTAGGTTTTTTTATTATCTAAGAAATGCACAACACAACGACAATTAAATTCACTGAATCATAACCTCGACATGTCTCCAACATGTCTGTCTGTTAATCGAATCAAAATTTCCGAAGTTTTAATCCCAATGGAAGTTATTTCTGTTCAATAGTGTATTAAAAATGGCGACGTCATTGGAATATTGATGATTAGCGCTGTTGACAATCATATTTATCCGATTTGCATCTGGCTTTATTCAAGGTAGTCTTCGGCAACCTATGAATGACCCTCTAGTGAGTATGCTGTTTTACGAGGTTTGGTTCGCCAGTTTGTCTATTGTGAATCAACGTTTCGTACTGTTATGGTGTTATGGGGGTCAGACCGCTACCTATAGAAAGACCACTCCTAGATAACTAATCTAACATTGACGCAATACTAGAAACTTAATGAGAAAATGGCCGCCCCCGAATAAACTGCTTTGGTTATATTGTTTTCATTATCCCATTTCGGAGGCTGAGATTATCATGCCTTCCCATGAATTCACGTTAGGAAATTAAATGCTTAACAATTCATTATGGGTATTAGTTTAAAAGATAATCGTTTTTTGTTGCGTGCATTTTTTTTTTTTTTTTTTAGAGAGAGAGAGAGAGAGAGAGAGAGAGAGAGAGAGAGGATTCAGCTGCTTCTACATTTTCATCAGAAGTCAAAAATAATATCACAAATCCCTAAGCAAACAATTTTTCCTTAGCTTGTCGTTTTTCATTGAGTCTGCCCTGAAAGGTCACTACGAGCTAAAATCGTGCGAGCCAGCGGCTCATTTCTAAAATAATCTCGATGGTAAACACTCTTAGCCGGCCCATATTTGGACATGGCCTTTTTTCCAAAGGGCAAGTAATGTCATTTCACTTATGCACAAGATAGCACTTGAAGTACCACAGAAATACCTGGGAATACTGTTATCCTTTAGATAACCATTGACAAAGATGTTCTTGCATAAAACACTAATATTAACGAGCAAAACTTATTTAGACTGAGAAGTCAACGCCCTGACCTATTAGCGAAAATTCTTGTTACAAAACTAATTGTCTGTTTCAAGTTTTTCATTGTTTTACCATCAAAAGTCAAATATTTCTTTAATCGCCGCATTCTTGGATGCCCAAATACGAATTTTCCAGAACTGTGCCGCCCAAATACTACAAATGAAATGCTAAATATAGAGGGAAAATTGATGATCAGTGATCTGTTTACTGTGTTTTGACTAAACTGATGCATGACTGAAAATAGGTCACAGCCATCTCATGCAGCGTGACGTTCAAAAACAGGGCGACGAAAATTAAAAGTTGCATTTTTAATGAATATGCAGTGGAATAAGAATCCATAAAACATGAATGACAGACTATAATCCGTGTTGTTTTTTGATCCAGAAGCCGTGCGATTCTCGACAGATGTGGCGGTGCATCTGCTTGGATTTCCTAGAAATGGCCGGCGCCTCTATCGTGACTAAAGTCATTAGCCTTGGATTAGAGGGTCGGCAATTAGTTGGAGGGCTAGAGTGCATACCATATATCCGTGAAAATCTTTGTAAGAAATTGCACAAATTTGCTATAAACTAGTAAGCTCAGTAGACCTTAGTAGACCGTAGTTCTACAAAACTTTGCACTACTTTTTACAATTTTGTTAGTTAACTTTTTCACGGATATATTGTATGCACTCTAATAAATATAAATACAACGCTACATTGATAGATGGACGACGTACCACGGACTCGAATCAACGCACTAGAACGTGATTATTAAAAATAGAACAAATCAAAGCCATTTGCTTCACCAAATTGAGTAAAATGCCTCAAATCCTGTTTAGAATTGTACGGCAAGACTTTTTTTAAATTTCAAGGAAAGCTTGAACCAGGCCAAGGAGGGCAGATGGAGTAGGGTTCGTAGAATTGGCCTTTTATTGCTACAAACCAAACATTTCTCAATTTCCTATGAAGTTGTTGACGCGGAACAAGGTTGTTCCTTCCTTATTAATATTAGCCATTCCGAGGTTGAGAAAAAACTGGGATTAGTGAGCATTGCAGTGCATTGTGGGGCTGTTTTAGGGGAAGAAATAGACGTCATCTTGGAAATTCCCCTAAAACAGCCCCACAGTGCACTGCAATGCTCACTAGTCCCAGTTTTTTCCCTCAACCTCGGAATGGCTGATATTATCTAAATCTCTGATAAATAACTCACAGACAAAGAAAAAAATTATTGAAGCTTAATTAAAAGTATTATAATTGATATATTATATAGTTAATAATATCAGTATATTAATAGTCCGTAAGTATATTTAGCCCGTATATGTGAACTAATAAAATAGAATGTAAAAAGGCCTTAAAGTTTGTCAGCAAAAAAAACTGATGTCTTCAATTATACCTATAGTAGTGTTTGGTACGTGTTTGAACTTAATGGGTGTAAACCTCAAATGATCATTACAAAATTGAGGTTACGCTGAAGGGTTGGTTGCCAACCTGAATGACAAGGCAATAGCGAATTGCAAAGTTCGTAACAAAAAAGTTCTCAAAGCAAGTTATCGACTGTAATCAAGGATTTTTCTCCTGGTTTTTGACTAATAAGAACTTATTCTCTCATTTATTGCATTTAGTTGTAAACCAACAGTTTCGCGCTTATTTCTTTTATTTGAACATAAAAAAGCGAAATACTTGAAAAAAGGATGTCTTTAAAAAGACAAATGCAACTATGCTATCATAACAGAAGTTTTTAATAGCACTAAGATTGATACTAATCTTGATATAAATAGATAGATAAAGAGATATAGATAGGATTGTGCTATGCAGATGGGACGTAATAGAAGGATATAGAAATATCATCCAGTGCCGAAGAGAGTACGTCGAATATTTTAAAGGCAAAGCTCCACCCTAAAATTGGTTCATATTCATCAACATAGACCAAGAAAAGCAGCCATGACGTACTTTGGTGGAAGTTTCATTGAAAGTAATGTCAAGTGAATGTGACCTAATGAACCAACCGGCGTCTATAATGTGAGCCTTTTACAGGCAAAGTGAATTAAACAATACAAAGGGAATTTAAGCAGTATAAGAGAAAAAAATACGTCCTCTTATTTCTATAGATAGTTTGCGCTGAATTATTCCCAAGAGAATGATATAACAGGTCACGTGACCCGGCGCCATGTTGGCTGACATAACAAAATGAACAAAACGCGGAAAAACTGGCGATTGAACTGAACAAGCATTGCGGCTATGAAAAACAGCCTTTAGTAGGGCGTAAATTTGAAAAGAACTGCGCAAAATCATAATGCTTCATTCCAAACAGTGAATGATATAACAGTACAAGTGACCGCCATGTTGGATGACAAAGAAATGTATTGTTACATTTAACCAACTTGACGACTATGAAAGACAAACAATTAAAAAATCTTACTGTCCCACTGTCGATAATGCTTCAGATCATTTAGTACAATTGCGGTTCGTTTTTCCTAACCTGCTTTGTTTTTAATTCTGAAGAAAAAACTGAAAAACTCTTACCTCTTCCACGCCATGATGGAAAGCCAATGAAGTGTCAAGGAGGATTCGCCTTCCTTCTAATTGTGAATTCAAATCTTTCCAGGCATCTTCCAAAGATTCTGCCATTGTTTCCTGTCTATTCTGACTATCTACAGGGTGAATTTGCTTGACGATCCATAAAATCTCGTGGAATTCGTCTTCTTTTCGCTGAAATGCAAAAACAAAATTCTCAACTGAGAAAAAAAGGGAAAAACAAAACGGAATCTGTTAGAAATTACAGATATTTCTTTTCCCAATTTGATAAGATTGAAGATGACTTTAAAATGGAAAATAGAAAATTTCAAACAAATTATACTGCATTCATACGCAGAACTAACCAAAAAATAAGAAGTGGAAAAAAATGAAAACCTTGAAAATGGTCTCGAAAACGTCAAAAACAATTAAAAGTATTCGTAAAACTCCCGACCTGTTTTGAACGATTGAAACTTTGACCCCAAGAGCTTAGTGACATAAATGTAAATACCAACCATATATTGCCCAGCAAAACCTTAAAATATTAAAAACTCATACTTATTATTCTAGAAAACCTTAGATAAACAACAGCAAACGATTTATTCCAATCAGCACTGAAACGCAGATGGGTTCAAGGTGATTGGATATTTAAAATATGATTGAAGAATATTGTAAGTATCATAAGTATTATGGGTCCTGGGTTAATCCGGCCTATTGCTGATAATAATACCGTCCTATATGGCTTAGTAAGGTTCACTGCTGTTCTTCTGATATATGTCATTGCTACTCTACTCGACAAACTAGGTAAAACTGAAGTGAAACGTGTTTACAAATAAACAGTTCTGTGAACCACAAATGATACTTTTTTTATAAACTTTCAATGAATAAATACTGAAATAAATAGTTTGTGTCGTGCGAGGCTAACACTGATTTTTATTAATATGATACAAAGCTGTGCATTCGTTCCAAGATCGAATACCAGATATCAGTGTTACACTCCGGCTGTTTCCTTCAAGCAATTGTTACATTTCATTTTATTGACCCAAATGCCTCTGATATCTGCCGTTGGGATTGGGAAGTGTTTTAATTAATGAGCCGAAAACTGGAAATGAAAGCCTCGAATCAAGGGGAATCAACAATCAACTCTACCAACGTATGATTATAGGATCAAACCAATGATCACTGCGGCGAGAAAAAGCCATTAGCAACAAACACTACATTGAGAAACATTGTCCTTTTATTTCATTCATTTATTAGCCCATTTATTTAATAAGCTTATCTATTGATTAATTTTTATTTACTCTTAAATTAACTTGAGTGTTTAATGGCCTGATTAATTCGAGCCAATGAATTAAATTATTCAGACTGGGTTTTTTTTCTTTTCTTTTTCTCTTTCTTGTTTTTCTTTTGGAAATGGTAAACGACTACTCGACTATAATTCTTTTCGATTTTTTTCATTGCTATGATTATTATTATTATTCCGGTGTTTTAACTCCTTTGGGAGACGCAAGATACCTAAACTAACTAAGAAAAGGATTCTGGCAGTAGAGGTATCAAGATCTAATAACCAGATAGTTAGAATTTGTTTAAGGATAAAAACCAACATAAGCCCCGATTATAAATTTTAGTGCAATTAAAAAAAGAGAGATAAAAAGGGCCTTTCTTTTTATAAGCAACAAATGTTTTTGATATTATAGCTCTCGTGAACATCAAGTGAAGCATCTCCTCTAAACACAAACGTGTAATTCAAGTACTCCAAAAGATTTCATTCTCAAGAGATTTACGACTTTACCTTAACCTTACAGCTCAATCCAAATTTGTCCGACAACTGCTCCAACGATAAGACAGTTTTTGAAATATGTGGAATGGCTTCAAAGAGTATGAAATTCCTGAGAGTGTGAGCATATGGTAGAAGAACATGGGTTAATTAGCCTAAACTAGGTTGTTTTTTCGGATCTCAAGTGATAAAATGTTAATAATAAAATAAAGATTAAAAGTCTTCGTATGTCTCGAGATAAAATGGAACATGAACAGAGGATTATATCCAACACCTGGGTATCTAAACAGGGATATAAACCAAGAAAAATGAATTTTTAAATCTAGATTGAAGGTAGAATCCTGTTAGTCTGTCTATAGCTAGAGTAAAATCCCTTGCGGAATGACTAGTTTCTTTAACTGATAGAACAAACTACAATCTTGGTTAAAATTCATTGCCATACTCGTCTCATAGTCGACTCATGACCTATTGACCTGGGATCTACAACACCATCCACGCAAAAAAATATAAACGAAATTAACAGTATTGGAATCTTTTTTGGCATATAAAATATATTAAATAATAAAAGACGCTTGTTTCGGGAATTATCTCTTAAAAGTTCTCAATAATACAAACTCTTCTTAACATATTTCTATTATTTTGCAGTATTGTCTCTAAGCCGCAGAGCGGATTTTAATGAGCACTACACAATACACAAACAATTTATATGTAAATGAAGTTAAAATAAAAACATTTGGTAAAAATTGGAAATAAATTGACTTGTTGATCAAAATAAGAGAAAAAATGTAAATTATTGTTAATCATGAAGGTAAGTCAAGCAAACAAAGTGCCTAAAATAGTTCAAGTTTTTACAAGGAAATATCGATAACGATATATCTTAATTCGGTTACTTAATGTTAAGTGGTTTTATTTTTACTGTATCATAATTCATCTCGATAACGAGTAATAAATATTCAATTATTTATAAAGACCTTTGCATTTTCGATTCTAGTGGAGCATAGATTTTTCCTACGAAGTTTGTTTACCTGTTCTTTGGTGTCATGTTTGCAAATGTTTTCAACAGAATCAAAAGTATACAGTTAGCGACGGTGCTCCGTAGGTGCTAAATTTATTAACAATCTGAGTATCCACTTCATTTGCATACCACAATTTCGATAGTGACAGAAATTAAGTCATTTAGAACACACTTCTAACTAGAAAACTAACTAGATTGTTAGAATACGATGATCGTTAGGTCAGCTTGATCTTGCATTACTAGTTCAGTGAAAGACAGCTTGTCAGATATCAAGTCATGATAGTTACCAACGCTGAGCGTTGTAAAGTCCTTGCAGAATAGGCTACGAGTATAGCCGAGCTAATATCAGTTAATGAATACTACTTAAGATGTTATGCCCGCTCAAGTATGGTGTTTATAGCGTTTGAGGTGTCTAGTCAATTTACAGCGTCCAAGACACTAACTCGCGTGAAGAAGAATTCATCAAATTACTCAAGAACTTTCTTAACAATTTTAACACTGTTACACAACTCATTTACGTAGCGACGGTAAATGGCTTACCTATAAATGACTATGTATAATACAGATGTGCTTGAATGTCCAAGTAAAGTAGAAAAATAATGAATTTGTGCTTGACTGTGTACGATATCCACGGCCAAAAACCAATGATCAGTGATTATGCAAAGATCAAATGCCAAATGGACACAAGATAAACACGCATAGCAATAGCTAAATTCCAATAGCTTTTCCACGCCCCACTAGGCAAATATCTGTCTCTCTTTGTAATCACATTAATGCTGTGTTTAAAGAGAGCCATGTTTGATTCAAATTATATAGTTACCCAATCAAATTAGTTCGCTTGACAAGGCCATTAAACCATTGCTAATTTGTTTTATCAATAATTTTTTGGCCAAAAACAGTTTAAGAATACTTTTGGTCTTTACCTCGTCAAACCGAGACCCTTAGCAAAAGCACCCATTAGATAAATAAATAGTCTTGTCATTTAATTGCCCTAGAAGGACAGTTTGACTGATTCACACATTAATGGTTTGAAGGTGGATTGGATGGTGAAAGAAGTCTAACAAAAGTTCAATAGTGTTCGTGATCCCGCGAGTTTACGAATGACCGTCACGTTATCCTCGATTGTCGTACAAGTAAACTTTTACAACTAAAAGCCGTGTAAAACAAATGAAACTTTGACGGTCGTTCATGTGGCAAACTCTAACTCGCTTGCGAAAAGCTGAACAATTAGAATTAAAATCTATGTAAAACAAATGAACTTTTTTGGTTAGTGGTCAAGTTCTTCAAAGCAGCTACATCGTGTGCGGGCGTGCATGCTTGCGTGTGACGTCTGTGTGCGCGTAAATATTTCTACAGAATTTCATATTCTTGAGTGCTGGTCATGGTTCAAGGAGACTTGATTTTAACTTTTGCGCTGCATGATATAAATAGAAGTGCACTTGAAAAGAAAAAGCTAGAAAATATATATGGGTATTTTTTTCGGCAGCGCATCCCCTGTGCGTTTTGGCGCTCTCTTTCCAAAACAAGGATTTCCAGTCACTTTTTTTATTAGTACCCTTCTACCTTATGGTAGGATAGTAGGACTTCATACCAATTAATTTAATGATCTTCTCAAAATTAGTTCAATGCCGGGATTCAAGGGCAATCTCGCTTCAGTGCTTCTCCGGCAGGACACGGTAAGTTTTGCTGCGACTTCTCCGATATCAAAGTTCTTGTGCAGGAAAACGTTTGCACACAAATATGGGGGAGTTCTTGATGTCCCTTAACGATAGGAGGGCCAAAGGGAGGGATGGAATTTCTAAAATGGTGGGGTGGAGGGAGACAAACCGGAGGAATCGCGGTGCACAAATGATGGGATGGAGTGGCAAACCGGAGGGATGGAGGTCCTCAAATGGTGACATGGAGGGAGACAAACCAGAGTAATCGCGGCGCACAAATTATGGGATGAAGTGGCAAACTGGAGGGATGGAGGTCCTCAAGTGGTAGGATGGAAGTTGACAAGAGGGATCGAGGTCCTTAAAACGGTGTTGTAGGACTAAGCTGTTGGATGGAAGGTTTCAAATGGTGGTATAGAGAGGCAAAACGGAGGGATGGAGGGCCAAATATAAGGTATGAAGATCCTTTAACGGTTGTGTTGAGGGTCAAAGAAAAGAAAGGAGGTTCTCAAACCGGGTGGAATGTAAGGGCAAACGGTGGGTGGAGGAGATATTCGATAAGAAAGATGGGGAATCCAAATGAAGGAATACAGAGCCAAAATAACAAATTCTCACATTCTATTCACAAACCTTGATGTCAGTTTCTTGTTGTTTGAGAAGTGACATAAGCTCTTGAGCCTCGTGTAGATTTTCACCAACTAGCCATTCAGTTTTCTTCAGTTCTTTAGCTTTATAGTGCAACCAGACGAAAAACTACAGACAAAAATAATATAAGTTCGAGTCGACGTTGAACCAACTTTTTCATATATGGATGTTGGATAAAATTGGATGCTGCGGATGCTTGAGACAAGTAACTCTATAATCCCACAGTCCACATCTTATGAAACCGTATCAGCAAAATCGTTAGAGCGTTAATCTAAAATCGCTAAAAAAACTTCGAGGGAATCGACACCAGAGAAAAGCGTTTGCGCATGCGTGCATTTCAGCACGTTTTCTACGAATTTTGAAGAATTTTAGCGAGAAAATAAATGTTTGTTTTCTCCAAGTATACAAAAAAGTTCGAGAGTATACTTTTGTCAGACCAAGATACTGTATTAACAAACACAATATGAAAGAATTAGGCTTAAGTTTCAAGCATGGACACTAATAAGTTTTGGCATTTTGAAAGTCAAATTTACATATGTTTTGACTAATTTGCATACGGATTCAGAGCATACGCAGACGTTTTTCACTCGTGTCGAGGGAATTACTAAAACAACTAGTTATGAACGAATCAAAGCTTTTGTAATTAATGAGGCGGGAAGTTTGAATTTCCGAAAATTGATTTCGGCTCGTCGTCGTATGACTAAAAATGACCCGTTGGGGATGGGAAGAGGATTATTGTCAAGTGATTAAAGTTACTCGAGGGTGGAAGGGATTTTTTCTCTCTTTCAAGTGATTCTTAGATCTAGCGTTTTCTTTTCCTTGGAGATCCATGACACGTCTAGCTAAATGAACACGAAAACCCCACCACAAAAATCCTTAACAACAACGATTGCTCGACGATTGTAAAACAGTTTTTATCTATTTATAAGAATATTTTTTATCGTAAATTAACGTGGAATTTCTCGTCACAGCGAGCCGGTGAGTAAACCATGGTATTGCAATGGTGGATCCAGCCAAAATTTTAGGGGCTAACTGAGTTTAGGGGAAGACTAATTGAGTTTCTTCCGTCAACACAACGGAAAACAATATCAAAAAGCATTTTTTTCCTGCCTTTTTTTGCCCCCCCCCCCCGGATCCGCCCTTGTTGTGAGGAGCCCTATATAATATATATCAATTAGAATAGACCTTTTTACCTTCGTATGCAAATGGCCCATTTTAGATCACATTGCATTCTATTGAGAATCGTTCTTTTATGACGAGCGTGTTAAAATATTTACACATGAAAGAACTCCCAAGAGTGACATCACATGGTCAAAAATGTGCACAACAAACAATGAAGCTAAAAAGGTACATTGTCCATATAGTCTCCATAGTCCAATTAGTCCCCATTTTTTGCAGACAATTCCTGTCAGGAAGACTTCTACTTACTTCTCTCACGTCATCCCCATAGTCTTCTCCATGCTTCCAGTTTCGCAAACGTTCATCTCTATCTTCCCACACCTCGTCAAATGACTGCTTGGACTCCTCGAGCTCCTCCAAACACTCCTCAAGAGGATGAGGAGCCCTTGATCCATCATCTGGGAGATTCATTCTGTCAATCAAAGCCTTTCCCATAGCAACAGTCTCCTTGTACTCCTTCGATACACTTTTTCTGGTTTCTTCGTGCGCGAAAACAGCCTCGTCCACTGTAGTTTGAGCGAGTTCGATTGGAAGATATTCATGGAGAAATTCGGCACGAATCTCATCTATTCTCTGCATTAACTATGCAATAATAATCAAATATGAGTACCCCTAAAGATGAACCATCTTTAGGGGGTATTTATTCTCTTGGGAATGGTATGGTGTTTTATCACAGAGTGGGACAATCACAAAAGAGCCAGGCTCCAATCTTGGTTAAAGCCCGAAAATCGAAGTGATTTTTGGTCAAATTCTATTTATCTTTGCAAGTGTCACAAATCGACAAAGAAGTGTCCGCGTGCGCGCGTTATATTCACCTGTGGGTGAATATAACAGCATAAGACATAAATTGTGACCAATGAGCGCAACAATGAGTGTAAAAATATATTATTATTATCATACCATGGTTTATACTATTCACACTACTCCTGCAAAATACGCAACACGCAAAAGAGATCTTAATGTGAATATGTAAACATACCATTTCTGCACTGCGATAAAACATTAGTGCAACAGACAAGCGAGCTCCTCGTTCAGCCATAGCACTTGAGAAGTCCAACCACACCTCGTCCAGTGTTTCTTCCATTTCCTGATTTGGAGTCAAATCATATCGACACGTTCTCCGTAAAACTAGGGAGGCTTGCAACAGCTGCTTGCCGTAATCGTAGGTCCCCTGAAAATTGGTACATTCGATGGTTACTCTATGTTGTTAATGCACTGCTTCTATTTTAAACGTCAAGGGTTAGCAGGTAAGAAGACAAGTTAACCGGTTACTTAGTCCAGTTTTGCAAGAGTCATTAAGTCATTAAGGGTCATTAAGTTTTAGTTCAAGTTTCTTCAACATTTTCTTGTTTTTTGTTTAGAAAAAAAAACCGGAAGCACGTCGATATCAATTCCCATCTATTTTACAGGAGCGTTGGTCAGACAATATGTTGCTTCCTTATCACACTCGCGAAATCGTAAAATTTGCCGTCGCGATAAAATAGGACGTCAATCAAAGCGTTCCATAAAATTATCAGAAAACACAAAGTTTTCAATGACACGTGCCTAAGGAATGGCATGGAAACGCATTGATTGAGATTAATACCCTACTTCGTCTGTGTCATTCTGCACGTGTTATAATCGAGAAGAACTGTAAAAGCATAGATTTTTGTACTGCGACACAACAAACCTTTGCAGTGCCTTCAACTTTGTCGTGTTCTTGCTGTAGGTGTAACGTTTCCTCAGAGGTCCGCCCTACATCAATTGATGTGTCAACTGCTCCGCTGTAAAGCTGTTGTAACCAAGCTATTGCCTGGCAAGAGAAACATTACAAGTCATGTGAGAATACTAAGAGGTACCAGGAAGATCTGGTACCAGAACGAGAAAGTAACAGGAGTTAATGCCTAAAAAGGGAGAACCTACATAGCGCTCAGTTGATGTAATGTATTCCGAAAATCTATTATATTCTATTGTCGTTCAATCTGTTACATTAGGTGTGATTCATTGTATTTTGTATGAACACATTACATTAACTGCTCGCTACGTAGGCTCTCCCTGCCTAAAAAAGGAGGTACCAAGAAACGCTGGTACCAAAGTGCCAAGATTAGGTGCCAAAGGGACAAGGTACCAACTAGAGCTGGAACCAGAGAAAGTACGATGATAAGGTGCCTAAGAGAGGAGGTACTAAATACAGCTGGTACAAACTACCAGGAGCTGTTATAAGAATCAGAATGTACCAGGATGGAAACAATATTGGGTAAATTATACCTTTTTACTGATACGACAGCCATCTTAAATTATGGGATGCCTAAGAAGCAAACGTAGAAATATTTTAAAAAAACATAGTGGCGAAGTTACTTTTTTTAACTGGTTTTACGCTTTGGTGTTTTACATATCGCTCGAAATACCAGCAAATTCAATTGGTTTTTAGATGTTTCACATTGGGTATATAACGTCAAATTTTAAATTTTTCCTATATTTGCTCCCTTGGCATCCCATAATCTCTTACTTAAAACAAAAGCATCTAAGATGGCCGCCGTATCAGCAAAAAGTTCTATTTCTATTAGTTAGGAACAAGCCGTACCTGCTCTGCGTCTCTTTCACAAGTTTTTAGCTGTAGCAGCTGCTGTAGTTTTAGCCTCCGTACATCACAGAGCTCATCTGTTCTCTGTTTTCGTTCTGTGAGATCGTCTAATGTTGTTTGTATGTAACAAATTGCTTCATCGCAGTTCAACGTGATTGGTTCTCCTTGAGCTGTCGTGGTTGGCTCACGAAGAACCTTCGTCAATGTCAGACTCTCACGCATTGTCTCCTCGTAAGACTGTTTCACCGCTGGAATAATAATATACAAAAGGTTACGTTCACGATAATCTTCATATCTTCAAGCCAACGTGTAATTTTCTTTTCATTATATAGACACATTCAAAAACAAAAACTTGTTGAAAACTTTGGAAAAGACGTCATCGATATCTTCACATGTATGGATATGGAAAATATGTCACCGAGGTCCCGGATGTAGTTCGTATGAAAAATACGAGTGGCGTATTTCCCAGTAAACCACTAATGTCTATATAAAAAAATGATATATCGCAATGACCAGATCCAACAACAAGAGAAATGATCTACGCAACAAATAAAATCATTCAAAAGCATGGCCTGTTTGTCGTATATAAAGTCCCTGCTAATCTGTCAATGTGGATATGAACAATGGTATATAAATGATACTGATATTGAATTACCTTCAGCCTTGTGTTCCAACGTAGATAGCATTGTCTCTGCACTTTCTAGGTCGTCTTTCATTATGGCATCAGAACACAGAAGTTCTAGAAGATCATCCAGAAGACTTGACAACTAAACAGAACAGGTGGATTCAAGAACAGTAAAAATGATTGATCATTGATTATCTTAACAGAGAAAAGGTGAAAAAGACTTCTCCACCTTGGGCGTAATGTTTTCCCATTTCAGACCACGTGTAATTTTAAAAAAATTCTTTGTTCGAGTTGCATCAATATTGGTTTTTCTTCTCATGCACAACCCTGAAACAAACAAATGGTACTCTAGACACGTGATCTGAAATAAAAAAACATTACGCCCAAGCCGGGTAAAGAGGTCTATTAAGCGGTTGCAGATTAAATCACTGCAATTTAATCAGCCTTTTTTTTCAAGCCTTTTTTTCCCTTCTTCTTTGTCTTCATACATAAACAACACCACACAGAAGGACAAACATTTCCCATTTCAGGACTATTATTCTAACTTACATGTGAAGCATATTGATGGAATTTTAAGGCACCATTAACGAGATCGCTTCTCCGTGACATTCTGGACGCGAAGCTACGGCAAATCTTGTCGAGATAGTCTTTTTGAAGTTGGATCTCTTTTGCTGCGTAATGGTTCCCGTGAAGCATTCTTTTACCCAAGTCACGAACTCGACCAAACAGGGTTATTATTTCCTTTGTTACGGAGCATAAGAAAATGAAAGTTAGAAGCAAATAATAGGCAATGTCACTAATGCTACTAATAATGAGGAATGCTTTGACCTCTAATGCTTCTACTAAAACTTCTTGAACTTACTCTGGCACTGTCACTTGTACTACTGCCTATGGTAATGTTGTTTCTGCTATACTTACAACTGTCTCTGCTGTTCCTACTGCTACTGCTGCTGCTGCTGCTACTGCTACTGCTACTGCTACTGCTACTGC